GTCTCCATTTTCTTTTCCATTATGATTGTCATTATTTATGGTAAGTTGCCAAAAAGTTGGAAGATGTGGATATGGGGTTCCAAGAGGTTGCCTGCAACGACGTTGATGCCTCAACCGGGCGCCCATCCTGTCCACTCTGTGGCCAATTCATCTTCTGCGTGATCGATGCCAAGCCCTCAAAGGTTTTTGAGGTGCCTGGCCCACTGGATATGGCAGTTACAGCCGCGGCAGCAGCTGCATCCTCGCTCCGTAAGACGGCGGCCACCGCTGCACGAGGCGCATCCCGCGACCCTGATGTTCTGTGCAGTTTTTCACGCCTTGTGCTCACGTCGTAGGCCGGGTTGAGGTTCCTCACACGATGCACACAGCGCGCCCCCAATCTTCACACAACTAACTGCCTGGCGACAGGTGCGGCTGATGCTGCTTCACGACATGCCGCAGCCGTGTCACCAACAATGATGGGAAGGCAACATGCATTTGAGTGATCTTGACACTAAGCGTGCCTGAGCATATTTGAGGATTGGATGCCGCAGTCTGGCCAGAGTTTCCAGTTTCCATGTTCAAGCCAATTGGGGGGGGTGACTTTGACTCCCTCCAGGTCCCGCTCTGATGACGCACGCCAGCCGCATTCAATGACGTAGACAGGTAGTGGACTCGTAGCAAGAGGCTGCTAGAAACTGTTTAAAATGAGGGGAAGGCCCGGGCATCTGCAAACGCAGTGTCAAAACAGTGGGGCCAGGCCCTCGCGGATAATGTCTGGAGCACCGCAGTGCCCAAAGCCCCCCAGGGTACTGGCATTGAACATACTGTCATACCAGACGTGAGTTGAGCTGTCATGGTAAGGCTTGGTGACAACTTGGGGCAGGTAGTTATGCCTTCGGGCGCCGGTGGCAGATGGTGTCGTGCAACATTTGTGTTGCTTGTGATAATATGCTCAAGAATTCGTGGGTTTGAACTGCAGCTTGCCAAGAGAAGGTCAAACTAGGCTGCTAATTTCATGGCCTTCCTGCAGGCTGCGCGTTGCAGTAGGATAGACCAGATCGGCTGATCGTTGTGCGGATCAAAAGTCGTGAGGGCAGCAAACGATGCCAAATCGTTGCAGAACTTTGCCTGCCAACTACAAGTTGTTTGTGCTTCCCCTGCTTCTTTTTTATGAGCATGTGAAGATGAATTTTGATAGCCATCTAGGCATCTTTAGGGTGGCATATGGATATCGCGTTGAAGTGGGGGGGGGGGGGGCGGNNCGGCCAAAAAATTGTACATTTACCAAACCTGGCTTCAAGCAAGTTAGCCAAATGACCCACACAAAAAACACATTTGTTTGGTCAGCATCAGTGGCTGAACTGCCGTAAGACACGTGGTTGTCGCAGCACCAGAACCGGTTTTTTTCACATTACAAAAGCGAATAGCAGCAAACAAGACTTGGACACCCAGCCAAGAGCAACGCCAAATTGCGATGTTGAAAGTTTGAATGCGCCATGCCTAACTCTCAGAGATGGACTGCTGCTGCGCGCCAGGCCAGGAACGGTCAATGTATTCAAGCGGTTTCATGTCATTCACAAGGTTGAAATTGAAACAAAAAAGCCCGGAGAAACTACCCAACTCATGATGTCGTCCCAGGTGTTCCGCAGCACCAGCGCCCTCCACTCATGGCAGCGACAAGGCGAAACCATTAAATGGCAAGGATGGCTTCCGGCATGTGTTTACCCAAAGGTGTCCTTCATGCTGGGAGTCATCGGTGGACAAGTGTGCTCCTCAGTCCGCTGACATTGACTTCCATGACATCATGATTTTGTGGGAGTATGTTCACAAGCACAGACAGTTCCATGTGAGTGAGTCGCCTCATTTGCATACTAACAGAAGCATGAAGTTATGTTTTTTTGAATTTCCCTGGTGCACATTTGGACATGTGAACCTTGATCTCCGCTTGGCACATGTTTTCTAGCAGAAGCACACGGCATAAACAAGTAGATTTTCACAATACATGAGGCTGTTATGGGGAGGGGCTTTGATTGTCCCTTGAGGTCCACGTTGCCAGACCAGGGCTTTTGCTGCTACGCCGGGCGCGGATTTCGAGAAGCAGCTTATGCCAGAGGATTCCAAATCATGGAAATTGCAGTAAAAATCCCTTTGCGTAATATTCAAGAAAGAACAACCCCCACGTTCATGTACTACAGCATACACCAATGAAAACATTCCTTTATGGGTGGGGGTGCAGGGCTTGAAAATCAGCAGAGGGAATTACTTGAATCGCAGCATCCAAGTGCGTGTGATGCTGAGGGCTTTAGCTTTGTGTTGTCCAGGACATTCTTCACCTGCGTGCCCTGTCCATGACCATCATGCAGGCTCTCTGTGTGCATAGAAGGAGTCGGCTGAGGTAGTGTCAAGGTGGCGTCATGAAACATGAAACTGTGGGATCTGGCAGTTGCCTGTTGTGAGCTTAAGTGTTGCACCAGCAAGCGTGCACGAAAACTCTTCAGCGCTGGGGATTCAAAATGGCACTCTTAAAATGCTGCGCTGGCTTGGAGTTCCCTTTGCAGGATCCAATCTGTGAGCTCAAGGCAGAAGAGGCAGTGATGGGAGCAGTGTACCGGTCACTGCGTCCCACTGCTGGTTTGGTTGCGTTTTTGTCAGTAGCAGGATCAGTTGGTTTTGCTTTGTAGCATTCTTGGGGCCAGGATATTTCCACAGTCGTACCGACGCGGCCCTTGTTTTTGGTTGGGCAACAGCGTTCAGAGAAAGCGTACCAGCGTACCTGGCTCGACGGATTCTAAACACGGAGCAGCGCCATAGCATAGTATGCCAAATCCGGCTTCAGCAAGTTTGTGTTGCCTAAACCCCAACTTCTATATCCTCTATATCGCCATGTCCATAACTAGGGGGATTGTCATGCTGTAACTTCAGGAAACCCTAAACCCTGTCCCCTATGTAACCCCCATATCCTCTGTCTCCCCTTTTAAATTTCAACCATAAACCCCTAAGCCCTTAAACCCTAAACCCCCAAACCTAAAACCCTTAAACCCTCAACACCTAATCTGTAAACCCCCAAACCCTAAATCCCCTAAACCCTAAACCCCTAAATCCTAGACCCCATAGAACCCCATTATAGTAGTTTCCATTTTCTTTTCCATTATCCCTACGTATCCACTATATACCCCACGTTTCATTACCATCCTACATACCCCAAGTTTCCATTTCATGTTCCATTTTCTTCTCCATTTGATTCTCCATTATCATATCCCCATATAACCCCATATATGCATCCCTTTGACAACCATTGTTATAACTCTTAAACCCTAAATCCCTATAGTTTCCATGTTCTTTTCCATTATCCCAATGTAACCCCAACCCAAAATCCTAAACCCTATATAACCCTAATGTTTCTGAAGATGATAAGCCCCTATACAACCCCTATATACCCCCTTAAACCCAAAACCCTAAACCTTAGACCCTAAACCCTAAACCCTAGTAGCTTCCATTTTCTTTTCCATTATCCCCATATACACCCTATAATCCCTATATAACCCCTAGGGTACCCAAAAAGGGACCATAATTTTGACGACACCCATAAATAACCTTTATATAATCCCTATATAACCCTCATATATTGCCTATATAACCCCTATAAAACCCTTATAAAACCTTATAAAACNNCCCATATATACCCTATAATCCTTATAAAACCCTTTAAAGTAGTTTCCATTTTCTTTTCCATTATCCCCTATATAACCCCTATATACACCCTAAACCCTAAACCCTAAACCCCAAACCCTAAACCCTAAACCCCATCCCAGTATATCCCCTTAAGAGCCCATGGAGGTGGAGCGCTACGTTCTCGACCTGAGAGATCCCATCGGCGAGCTGCCGTTGTGGCATCCGACAAGGCCTAGGGTTCAGGGCTTGGGGTTTCAGGGTTTTTTTTTGGGTTTCAGGGTTTTGGGTGTAGGGTTTAGGGATTAGGTTTGAGGATTCAGGGTTTAGGGTTTGGGGTTTGGGGTTTAGGGTTTGGGGGTTAGGGTTTGGGGTCTAGGGCTCAGGGTTTAGGGTAGTTTGGGGATGAGGGTTTAGTTAAGCATTTGGGTGGATTTTCTCTGGGGGTCGTGTTTTCTATAGATTGTGAAGTGGTTCTTCGTTCGTGTTTTTTGCATTTGCCTAAGCCCTAAGTCAGCTGATCGGATCTCCCGTTCCTGAAACATTGGTGAGGGTCATGTTCCCTGGCATAAACACTTCACCCGCAGGACCTAGATTCTGCATGCTCCGTTTTCATGTAGAATTTTGTGTTCCATGCACGGTCAGCAAATGTTTTGGAAGGGAAGGACGTTCGGCTTTTGAGCCACCCAAAACCCTAAACTCCAGTAGCTTTGGCAGGCTAATGCACCAGATCGGCGATCCCTTTCGAGTGCGGAAGCTGACGGCACCTCCGCTGCCATGTGGGGGTTGTCAAAATTATGTTCCGTGCTTGTTTTTGCGTACCCGATGTTATGGGCCCTATTATAAAGAAGTTCAAGGACCACAGTTTTGACAACCCACTATTCTTTCCTGTGTGGCAGGACGCTGCAAACCCCGGGCCAGTTTCGATTGAAATTGTTCACCTTGGAAGATTGCCTTCGCTCAAGACTTGGGCTTCTGATTTTGGTGAGCTTGCCGACATGCACAGGTGGCCAGATATCACAAGCTGATCATAGAGAGACTTGCATCTCGGACTTGCTTGGAAGACTGAGGTAAGGTCACGTGCCAAGAGTCATGTCCAAATTGGGAAGTACCACGCTTGATTTCAATGACATGCTTGAGTAGCACAGTACGCACCAGTGGAAGCATGCATGTTTATCTAGGACAACGAGCCTCTCCTTGACGCGTTCGGCGTGGATGCGGGATTCAACATGCAGGCCGCTGAATGATTCTTGCAGTCGACCTGTTGTGCAAATTTTGCCATTTGTGCTAATACTTGGCCAGACGGAAACATGTTGTACTTGCTTTGGTAGATTGCTTCAAATCTGAATCATGCTGACTAGGCAGGATCTTTGCAACACGGTTTCAGCAAGCAATGTGCGCGTGCAACGGCCAGCCTCTTGTGCAGTCCTACTTCATGATCCTGCACGCGTGGCTGATTCACCAGCGATTGGTGCTGGAAGGTTCTAAGGCAGGATGCGAGAGCCATGTTCTAAGCAAAGCAATCCCCACCAGCCAGTTCAGTTGTATGTTGCAGCATTTGGGTCAAAGGACAAGATGGGCTTTACACAGCGTGGCTCCGCATGGTATAGCACGATTCATTAGTGGCTCGAGCTTGCACACCATGCAAAGCTGAATCTGCCAATGTAGTAGCTGGCGCAGCTCTGGCTTGTAGGTATGGAGTTCAAAGAATCCCTAGAGTGTTCTCCTCTAGGCTTAGTGTCGTAAGAGAGTCCAAGACGGCCGACAGCGTCAGCGCCATGGCGGTGCTAAGCCACTCAGCACAAGAATTATGTCACATCATTCTTGCTTGCCTAGCCTGCTCTACTTGGAAGCCTTCGAGTTGTGCTGGTCTACGCCTTCCTGTTATAGTCCCCCTTAAGTAGATAGAATATGGCTTAAGGTATATTATAATGAGATTCCCATATACCCCATAGTCTATCTACTTAAGGGGGACCATAGCTCCAATATATACCCTTTTATGATTTTGTAGTTTCCATTTTCTTTTCCATTATTTCTTTGTAACCCCAATATTCTCTCTACTTAAGGGGGACTATATCCCCATACAACTCCATATAACCCCAATATACTATAGTACCTTCCATTCTATTTTCCATTTGTTACTAACTCCCTTGAAGATGAAGCATAGCCTGGCTATGGCCAGATCGCCGTGGTACTTTGACATGTAAGGCGTGGCTCGACCAACGCGCGCGTCAAGGCTTTTGCACTTGCACTGTTTTGAAAGCCGGCTTGTTGTGCTTTGTTAATTTGAGCTACAGTCTAACCTCATTAAGGGGGATTATATAGGGGATTACTTTTTGGGGTCATTAAGGGGGATACTAGGAGTTTAGACTATAGCTCATTTGGAAGCTTCGGAAGGAAGCTGAGTGAGCCTGATGCGTTGGCCTTCCTTTTCGGCCGTCCTGCGCAGATCGTTCAGGCCCATACTCGCAACCAAGAGGGATGTTCTCAAAATTATGGGCCCCTTTTTGTTTATTGGTTATAATATTACAGGCACCTGGTATTTAGGGGTACCAAAATGGGATCTTAATTTTGGGAGCTTCCCAAGAAGTAGGGAGTGACTTGACATGCGAAACCCTCCACAGCGGCAGGTGAAATCGAGGCAGCGCGCATGTGGATGGCCTCAGAGCAGTCGTTGCTTGTCCGAGCTCCGCATGCGTTCACGGCAACCAAACAGTGACATTCGCAAACGTCAATCCTGGTTTAGAAGTAGTACTTGTATGCCTTTCGCTCGGAGCATCTTCCGCCCAATCAGCTCCTGAACATCAAACGCCTCGGTCTAACCTCAAGATGTTGCCTCCAAAAGCCTTGATAGATGAGATGCGCCAGCCAAACAAAAGCCCAGCATCACGGGAGAGAGGCGAGGATGTGGTGAACCTGGAGGATGAGGAACAGCAGGCGGACTGTGCCATGCTACACTGCGCCACGTGAGCTATAATCTAAACTCCTAAAAGGGGGTCATGTAAGGGAATTTTTGGGGGCCTATTATAGGGCTTACAAAGAGGGATATTAGGAGTTTAGACTATGGCTCACGTCCACTCTTAGAACATAGGCAGATTGTGAAGATCAGGGCTTCTTCTTTAGGACCACTGAGCGGGTTGTTGAAAATCAGGACATTTTGATGAATTCTTTTCTCCCAGCGACATTAATTTACAAGTACCCATATTCATTGGACTTACGGTGCCACTTTTTGGCTTTTTTGGTAGAATGTTGACAAGGAATCCTCATGTTTGTGAAGTTCCTCCTTGGGAACAAGCATTTTTGGCAAGACGGCATTTGCTAGATGCAGCCAAGCCGGATTGCCATGGAAGTGCAATGGAGAAATTAGAGCAGCTCATGTCATCGGGGGCTTAGTAGGGAACAAGGGAACCCCAGCAAGCTACTGCATCTCCAAAGAAAATAGAATAGTAGTACAAATAGTACTAATAACACTAGCAATCCCAATATGCTATAATTGTTTCCAGGTTTTTTCCATTATTCCTTCTATAGAACTCTGACAAATACACTGAACCCTAAAACCTATGTTCCCCACTTGCCTCCAGTCAGCTCCTGTCAGCGGGCATGCGACATGTAGTCCCTACATAATCTCTATAGAATATATTCCCCAGTTATTCCCTGCCCTAGCCATATCTATATATATATATGTATATATATATATATATGTATTCCCTTTCTCCCTACTAGTCTCGAGTAAGTCATGAGGGGGTACGAAGTATGACGTCAGCAATCAGGAGCCGGATTCAGCGACAGGCCGAAGCTGCCTCATTGCACGGCAAGTTCCCTTTATCTTCCGAAAAGTTAAGAGAGAAAAAGGGAATATGGAGGAATCATGTGGGGTTGTATAGGGACTATTTGTAGGGGTCAGTAGGGCAGAAGGGAATATATTCTATAGGGGTTATCTAAGAATTATATTCCCTTTCTCCCTATCAGCATCCAGTAGGAAGTTTCCTTTGTGACGATGAGGTGTCGGGTGTGCTGCTACCAGGCGAGTGCTTCATCAAGGACCTTGATCCCGGACCGCTGGACTGGAGATGTGTTGCAGCCGCTGGCTAAGATGAGTTCCTCTAGTCCCCCGACCTTCGTGCTTGGCCAGCTTTGCAGTTAGGATCTTCAATGACTAAGGCCTTGCTGCCAGCGGCAGCAGCAGTGCATTCAGGCCTTCTGACAGGCACCATCAGCTGTGGAGCGGCTGAAATGCTTGGTGCTGTGAGGGCTGTGTGGTCCTTGGCTGTGCTATATAAAGGCTAGAGGCTTGCAGGCAGTGCTTGTATGAGGCGGCGCTGCAATGGCATGCGCCAGGAGCCTAGCCTAGGCTAGCCTTTGCTTACTGCAGGCAAGAGGGTCCGCTGGAACAAGTACTTTTAGGCGGTGTGGAGCAACGGAACATTTTTCTCACCGGTGAGGTTCCAATTGCCGTGCCCTTCTCTGTCCCGCAGGCATGATCTAGGAGATTTCAGGTCTGGAGTAGTTTCCATTTTAGTTTCCATTATCCCTATATAAACTTATATAAACCCTTTATATATATACACCCTAATATACTATAGTAGTTCTTTGGACACATCTTCGGCTCCTTCAGGTTGCCTCCGACAGCTGGTTGGCCAACAAGCGAGCCCGCGCTGGGGGACCAAGAGACTAGGGGCCAAGGACAGAAAGGTTGGCAACGGAAAGCTGTATTCGTAGTAGTAATGTTTAGTGTTTAGGGTTTAGGGTAGTAGTATAACAGTATAAACATTCAGAATAGCCGTGTTAATACTGGCAATAATAGTAGTGATACGAAAGAATTTCATAAACAAGCTTTAAGTCGTCATGTGTGAAGACCTCCCGAGGCGTTTCATCGTGGGGTTGTCATTTCGGCCGGTGCTTCAGCTTTTGACCTGCAGCCTTGTTTTGTGTTTAGTGTTTAGGGTATCCCAGAATGGGGGGTCCCTTTAAAGGGGACAAAAAGGTTATGTGGGGTTATATCGGAGTTATATAGGGGTTATTTAGGGATATGGTTTCCCAAAATTGTGGTACCTTTTTGGGGTGTCCCTTTCGTAAAGGCCATAGTTAGGGTTCAGGGTTTAGGGTTTTTGGGGTCCATATCGGGTCCCCTCCTTTCCGGGAAACTACCACATGTCACAGTCAGCTGATTCTGCACTTGACTGGCCTTAAACCCTAAACATCCCTAAACCCTAGACCCCTGGCAAGGTGTGCGCTCAGGGTGTCCTTACGCTGCTCAAGCTCTCGAGGGGCGACCTCGTGGGTGGATTGCCCGGCGCTTGAACTTTGGAGTTTCCAGCTGAGTAATACTAGTAAAACTAGTAGCAGTCAGAGTAATACTAGTATGACTAGTAATGCTTCCAATATATACTGATACTAGTAATGTTCGTAATAATACTAGTAGCAAGGGGAAGAAAAGCCAGAATTATAATGAGAGTAATACTGTTGATACTAAAAATCCTGCATGACCTTAGTATACTACAGTACCATTATTCCCAGGGGTTTAGGGTACTGTGGGTCATGCAGGACTTTTAGTATCCACCGCAGTAGCAATGACAGAAAAGTCGCAAAAAATGATACGGCCATAAAACCCTAAACCCTAAAACCCTAAACCCTAAACCCTAATCCCCATTGTATCAGGTACGACGGTGTCCTGTGTGCCATGGGTAGCTACGCTGTTCAGCCCGAAGGCAAGGCAGAAATTGCTAACAGCTGTGGGCTTGCGCACCGTCTACATAATATGGTTTAAGGCATTATTGGGGTCATATAGGGATAGTATGGGATAATGGAAAAGAAAATGGAAACTACTATAGTATATTGGGGGGGTATATTGGGGTTATATGAGCTATAGTCTAAACTCCTAGTATTCCCCTTACTAACCCCTATACATTCCTATATAACCCTCTTGAAGGAGTTCCGACTAACTATAGCTTTTTTGTTTACCCTGAAGGCATTCGCTTCTTCCCAACCTACATCATTTGCTGCGGTTTTAACGGGTGCGAGCCTCGTAATTGCGAGGGTGTAAGCGCTGTTCTTCAGCCACCTTCCTTCAGATCACTATTACTATTCATGTTTCTGGTATCCTTATTCTTATTACTACTCCCATTGTCATTTCCCTTGTCATTACTATCATGACTGTTATCCTAATCACTTCTATTCTTGCTACTCTCATATTGCTCAATCACTGCAGGTTGCTCGGCTTGCTGCAGATCATGCAGGGTTACCAGGCAGACTTTTCTCGGACCGCATTGATGTAGCCAATCCTGCAGCAATGACAGTACAATCTTAGGGGTACTTGGAAATAATCTTTACTTTTTGCTTATCATAATCCTAATCCTAAGGAACAGCAAAAATTACAATTTTTGCTATGGTTCCAAGCTCCCCAATGCAATTGTAATACTAGCAGTAATAACAGTGATTTCTGCAATGTGGCAGGGTATCCCCTTGCACATGCTTCCGTGGCTGGCTTGAGTCTCAGATGGTGCACATTCGTTGAGATGAACGACGGGTGCTGATCAGAAGACTAGAAGGAAGCGCAGAGTCTGATTGTCACTTTTGCCTTGCTGGCAGGCCATTCTGCCTCCATCCATCGCCCTCTTCGGGGCCTACTGCGGGTGCAAGCCTCAAATCTTAATGCAAACAACAGGATGCTGATATGTTTGTTTCTCTCACCTATCCATCTGATCTAAGGTGGCAATTCTGCAAGGAGGTCAGCGCTATCTCAGCGGGACACACCGGAGCTGGACCTCAGGTTCGAGACCCAGTCATTGTGTCCTCTACAGGTTACAGGTGAACCAAGTCGGACATTGGATTTGGCCAGAGATGGCCGGGATGAGATTGTGGAGACTCTCATCATTGCACGAAACCAATGACATTATTACTATATTGGGGAAATATATATTATTTACTATATGAACTCTATATAACCCCATTATAGTAGTAACCCCATTATAGTAGTTTCCATTTTCTTTTCCATTATCCCTAATGAGATGTGACAGGCCCTCTTATCTCGAGCAACCTCACGCACGTACGCTAAGTGTCCTTGTCTCTATCACTCCTTCCTTCGCACTTGTCCTCCGCCCTATATGAGCTGTAGTCTAAACTCCTTAAAGGGGAATATGTAGGGGATTATACAGGGGACTACTATAGGGGTTATTAAGGGGGATACTAGGAGTTTAGACTATAGCTCATATATCCCCATATACCCTATATACTCCTGTGCATGCCCCTGTATATCCCTATATACCCCCTGTATATACCCCCTATGTACTCCCAGCAAGGATACCTGCTTCGTCAGAGTGATGGGTGCAGATTGGTGGCCATCCTTTCTCGGGCCCCGAACCCGGCGTGCTTTGATAGCAGTATTAACAGAAATTATTGCAATACAAGTAGTAGTAGTAGTAGTAGTAACAATAATAATACATGATGATCTTCGATCATCCATGCATCCTAATTAGATTAACTACTGGTGGTTAGTAGAGAGTACTGGAATAAAATCCCTGCATAATGCCTATAATAGATTTATTCCTTTATTCCAGACAAGAAGGATGTGTAATCCAACCCCTTTTGCGATTCAGTTCTTGGAACTGAACGGACTTGATCTTTCCAATCGTTGGGCCTGACGGCACGTTGAGGATGGAGACAGGGTGCGTGAGTGTCATAATAAGCGTCTGCAAGTGATGGCTGGTTATTACTATTCTGAATATTGTTACCATTATTACTCTTTCTAAAATTGTTACCATTATCACTAGTATTGATGTTATCACCAGGAATACTATCCTTAATGGTTCTCTTCCTTGGCGAGGCATCTTGACTAACCCTGCCCACCATTCATGCTTCCACATCCACATCAGGCCGGTTCCAGGTGCTGCCTTTGAGAGCTCCAGGGGAACTGAAGCTCGGGAACGAGTCCCAATAACGGGGAGGATACTGTAGTAGTTTCCATGCGTAGAAATTCTGAACTGTAGAAATTCTGAACTGGAGGCCCCAGGTGGCAACGCGAGAAGAGAGATTCACGCAGTGGGGTCGGCCGGGAGGTGCGCGCAGGGCTGGCCCTAAACCCTAGAAATTGAGGTCCTAAACCCTAAACCCTAAAACCCTAAACCCCTAAACCCCTAAAAACCCTAAAACCCTGAAACCCTAAAACCCTAAACAGCTTAAAGTCCGTTTTATGTCCAGGGATCCAATGCCTATGGGCCTCACTTTGGTGTCATGTGAGCCTTAAAAGGGGGTTCTATACCTTAAAGGGGTTTCTAGTTCCTCCAAGGGTCATAGTAATAGGGGTTTTATAGGGGATTATATAGGGGTTATATAAGGGTTTTTAAAGGTTTTATAGGGTTCTATAGGGGATTCTATAGGGGATTATATTGGGATAATGGAAAAGAAAATGGAAACTACTATAATTGGTTATATAGAGATTATAGGGTAATATAGGGGATTAGATAATAGGGGGTTCCAATATTACTCCAATAATGGAGAATCAAATGGAAAAGAAAATGGAAAATGAAATGGAAACTGGGATTATATTGGGGATTATATAGGGGATATATTGGGATAATGGAAAAGAAAATGGAAACTACTATTTGGGGTTTAGGGTTTAGGGCCTATTGGTATTCCGGTACCTTGTTTTGGATGTTTTGGCCGAGGATGTACACTGCACATCAAGGGATTTGCTAAGGCAAATGGGAGTCATTCAGGAGGTTTGGTATGAGAGACCCCTGTGCTCCCGGTTTAGGGGGTTTAGGGTTTAGGGCTGATATATATCTACTACCAAAGTAAGGGCGAGACCCGTGCAGCCATCATCCCTCAGAGTTTGCACCCTCAGCCCCTGAATCCCGCCCTGAAACAATAGTTTCCATTTGCTTCTCCAACATTACTATATGTTCCCCAATGACTCCTATTATCCCTATAGAACTCAAAACCCTGAATCCTATCTAGCAAAACAACTATCTTGCAGGAAGCGTCACTGGCCAAGCTGGCAGTGGCAGGCCGTGTACCTGATGTGCTCTTCATCACGCGATTCTGTAGCAATGGAGGTTTAGGGTTTGGGGTTTAGGGTTTAAAGAGTTTAGGGTTTAGAGTTTACTGGGCGCTTTAAAGCGACCTTGAAACTAGTCTAAATTACCGTGACTGAAAAACTTCAATCACTTTCATATAAGGTCAATCCCTCCTGCAGTATGGCCTTTAAATATGGAGTTGATAGCACGTTAATATACTTAACATACCCACAATAGTCCCTTGCGTTACCTAGTACTGGGTGGGGATTGGCCCAAGTGTCAAAGTACAAGGCAATAGAAGGTACAACAATGGTACGGGCTATAGTATCACCGAAATTCGGAGAATTTGGGTGGCAAGGATTTGGGCTCATGAGGTTTGCTCCAGTATGCGCTTGGCAGCCCAGAAGGTTTTAGGAGCAACGATAACAGATACCACTCCGTTTCACATACTTGCATGTAGATCTTATTCGCACGATACTATTGCATGGCTTGGACGGCGTGTCTCACAGGGACATGGGATGAGGGCTTACCTTGTCCATGTCCACCGCTTATCATCCCTTAAGATGCAGGGTTTGTAGGACGTTCGCCAGTTGCACGCTCGTGTTTTTGGTGCTCATGTTAAAGTTCTGCTACTAAGGTTCAACACTTGCAAAGAGCCAGTGCTAAGCACGAGAATCAGTAGGAGGGCTTGGGGGAGGCACACTGCAAGTACGAGTCTTATCAGAGCATGATACAGCATGGTCATCATGGGGCCACTCAAAAACATATTGAATTCAAGTTAAAGTCGCTATGGAGCGCATTGCCCAAACAGTTGCTTGTAGTTTGTTTGCTTCTCCCCGCCTTGCAGGGACCAATTCTCGGCTTTCGGCGGAGATGGGCATCGATTGGGAGAGAACTGAGCTTGCCCTGTCACTGTGTACCGCGGGCAAGCAGAGCTGGAATTGGGTAGCGTTTGGAGAGATCATCTGAGTAAGCTGCATTGGCAATCACAAAACTGCGTGCCGCATTCCAGCTGAAAGTGCAAAGATCACTGTGCTTGGTGGCTGAGCTGCGCCCGCGCTGGTTAGAATCTCTGTGTCCAGGAACTTCCGGAGCGACTACCAAACATGCATGCGCAGACTAAAGTGATAGCACTAGCCACGGATAGCGTGAGGCAGCCCACATCTAAGATGATTGATTTTCGGTTTTCACCGATGCATTCCAGCGGAGACGGAGAAGCTACCAGAGCCCAAGACAACATGGCAGCCATCAGGAAAAGCTGGTTGTGTGTGTGCGGCGTGCGAGATTCGCAGTGAGGTTTTGCTTGAACTGGCTCTTCTGCCAGAACTCCTTTTGGTGACATTTTGGAACTTTCAGCGAGCAGACTGATGGTGGGCAGTGGTTACCCCTAACCCTAAACGCTAAACCCTAACCATGGTTGTTGGCAGGCCAGAAAAGTTGATGAGGAGCTGTTTGAGCACTGCTGGAACCTGACAAGGCAGGCAGACAAGTCAGTCCTGATTTCAATTATAGTGGATTACTGTAGTAATAGCGGAAAAGAAAATGGAAACTACTATTTAGGGTTTAGGGCTCTTCCATCTTAACAAGATGAAGGAACCTTAAACCCTACATAGTAGTTTCCATTTTCTTGTCCGTTATTAGTATAAAGACCTCATATAACTCCTATATAATCCCTATAGAACCCTAAGGCCTAAAGCGCAATATAAGTTATAATCCCCATCCCCCAAAAAAAAAACATCGTTTCTCATGGGCTAAGGGCTGAGGCTTAGACAGGCTGGCCACAAAGGCATAGCCTGCAATCCGCTTGCTGCTGTGAAGGTCATGGTTGGTGCTCAAACGAGTGCCCGAGTATAGATTCGATGCCGAGCTGCAGAACGTACAAGAGTATGCCTCTCAGATTCTGTATCCTCCAGAGCTATTTAGAGATTTCCTAAAACAGGGGGTACCATTTCGGGGATCCGTATAATGGCGTTTTTGAGTCCATATTTGCGCCCTGTTTAGGGAAACTGCCACATAGGAGTCATTCAAGGGTTGTATAGGGATATTGGCAGAAGTAAGGGAGAATCAAATCGAAAGGCTAATGAAAGGTGAAATGGAGAGTGGGATTACATGATCGTTTCTAGGAAACAAAGCATGATGATCACTCAGCCTTAGTCCGAATTTTGAGGTACATGCTTGGAGTCTGCATTGCGATGGACAAGGCTTTGGAGAGGCCGTCGCGAGAATTCAATGATCTGAGCGAGATGCTTGCAGAAAGGGCAGTTGATCAAAAATCCTCCTTTCAGAATGGCCATTAAGGAAAAAAGTTTTCCCCATGTTTCCCCTTATAGACCTACAGGAACCTTAGATAACCTTTTCAAAGAGCATAAGCCTTCCTACAACCCCTTTAAACCTTTATATAGATCCCCTACAGAAATCACGATCAAAGCTTACATATAGTCTCTGTATAACCTATAAAAAAAACCTTATGAAACCACATCCCCCATATGACCCCTATATATTCCTAAGCCCTACACCCCAAAACCCTAAGCCCTAAACCCTAAATAGTAGTTTCCAATTTATTTTCCATTTTCCCTATATAACCCCAACATAATTAAGCCTATATCAAAATGGTTGCAGGCCAGATGTGCTTCCCGCCCGGGTTCAACAGTGCCTTTGGGCCAACATGTACTCTGGCTCGGCCTGCTCCTTATGGGTTTAGGGTTTAGGGGTTTAGGGGTTTAGGGTTTAGGGGTTTAGGGTTTAGGGTTTAGGGGTTTGGGGTTTAGGGGTTTGGGGCGCAGGGGCTCAGGCTTTACCGGTTAGGGGTTTACGGTTCAGGGAGTAGGGTTAAGGGTTTAGGGTTAGGGTTTAGGGTCAGAGATGTTCAGGGCTGGAAAAGGCAAAGCCCAGATGCCAAGAAGGTAATATCCAACACTTGCTTGTAAGTATGATTTTGGGTTACACTAGTGTTTCTTGATACGCCTAACTGGCATTGGTTTCCAGGTCAAAAAAGATCACAAAGGCCTCACTCGACTGACGAAGCCCTGGCCTCAAACAGGACATGCCGCGCAAGGATGCCATGCCTGTTGTGAACCGTAGGCAGCTTGCAAATGCTCAGGTACATGCTGAGACAGCTTGGGCTTATGCTTCAGCTGGACTCAGATCGCACTTATCTTGGCTTGGGGTGGCCGAACATGTGTGTCTGACAAGCAAATGCTTGACATGAGGTTTCCTCAGCGGTCAATTTGTATGGGCAGATTTCCCAGGCCAGGAAGAATTCAAAGCTCTTGTACTTTCCACATCCTGAAGTCAAAGTAATAAAAAGAACAATGATAGTAGATACTAGTAATAATAGCAATGATAATAGTAATTCTAAGAATGTAATCGTAATAGTTGCATGGCAACGATGCCCTGTCGCCACGCTCAATCGGCGACCCCAAGACCTCTCCTACCGGCACGACTTGCTCATGCTCAGACAGACCGGTTGTGCCACTGTTTATGTAGAGACCTGAATAAATTCCGTGAATAATGGTGGTATTAGTTTATGAGGTACCTCAAATACACCTGAACATGATGTTGATCGCCACTTAGGCCTCTGTATTAGTTGCAAAGCAGCGATGATGCCTGATGCATGCTTTTTGTCGCCGCAGTTCGTGATAAGCCGCGCAAACCGTTGGTGCTGCCGGAGTGGCGCGCCAGGCTGCTAGGCATAGAATGATATAGGGATTGTAAATGGATATGTAGGGTTTAGGGTGAAGGTTTTTATAGGGGTCGTGGAGGGTTTTACGGAAATTATATGGGGGTTATATGGGGTGTATGATTCGGGCCCGGCCGCAACCCCACACTGCCCCCACCAATGGTTCCCCACTCTTCCTATGTTTTAAGGTTTACGTTAAGATTAAATTCTTATCCCGACCCCCTGTGGCGGTCTGAGTCTTGTGGTTCAAAACTAGTTTGCAGAGGGTTGAGGTCTGGGTCTTGTGCTTTACATGAGGTTTACGTTTATACAGGCTTTATAGTATTACAGTTTATAGAGGGATTATAGCAGTATTACGGTTCATAGAGGGATTGTAACAGTTCATAGAAGATTTCAAGAAGGCTATGATTCTATAAAAGGCTTCTATATGATGAGGAGCAAGCCCATTCCTGTGACTGAGAATACTCGATCCTAAAATGCGACTATCATCATGACGTTTCAAAGGCCACGACAGTTGCGAAGGATCGCGCTCCCTATGACTGTTGATAAACGCCGAAATCACGAGGGGCCAAAAGTGATGACAGTTACAAGGATGGAGGCTTTGAGGTGCCAGAAACCACGACAGTTGCGAGGAAGGCGACCCGGCCTCATCCCCGTGACTATTGACATTTTGAAATCATATTGGGGGGGATACCATGGGGAGGGTGGGGGGGGGCTGGCATACCGAGAGCCAGGAAATATATGTGTATATATATATATATACAGACGTGTTCGGCCTTTAGGACTAGCACCCCAGGCAATGGAGAGTCAAATTCAAATCACATGCAAGATGAAATGGAAACTGTGATTATAGCGACGTTTATAGGACTGAGTCGGAATGAGGGTTTGGGAGCAGCTGCAACATGTGATGCACGCATTTTTCGAACTCCTTGGAGTTTTGCTTCTTCAGGTTCAGAGTGGAACTCGAGGACCCGGGATTTCAACAGGGATCGCTGCTACTACTTGTACTAGTATTTCTGTTATTACTATTAGTACTACTGTTAAACTACTGTTTTTTTCATTTTTTACTACTATTCTGACAGGAGAACATCGCAGACATGGATCCTACCAACCCTACAAATCCGTTCCGTGAGCGGATTGACCGAACCTTGAGCTCATCAGAGCCACAAGACAAGTTAGGGAAGTAGTCTGCTGTAGGGTCCTAGCTGCCGCACATGTGCGGCAAGCTAAGTAGAGTAGGAATTGACAAGCAAGCCATAATGTGTGGCAGAAATACGAGGTACATGCAGTATCGCTTGAATTGCATGACATGACTTGGCTTCGAAACCGCCATTGCAGTGTCTACAATCTTTCCTGCGTGCCAGAGCCTACAGCGACGATTTTCTCGCGGTCCATATTTGGAGCCCGCTGATCATATTCTAGCGTTCGCTGCTTTGTCTCACAGGATCCTGCCTGCTTGTGTACAGCTGCTGCGTACTGCGCTGTACTCACTTATGGGCAGGAAAAGGAAAAGGCTGTGACCGTGGGCCGGTGATCTTTTCATCTATGGCTGAGACTCGTACACAGCTTGGCTGCTAGGAGGTTCGAGCATGCACATTACTGCCGTATTCCCTACTACAACCCCAATACATACCCTATTATGCGCGCAGTCTTCATTTTCTTTGCCAGTACCCCTATATAACCGCTATACAAAGAATGCCCCAAAGCACAGCAGGGGACCATAGCAACTCACCCTGAATCTTGGGAACTGGAATGTGTTCAGCCATTGCGGGCATTCTACAACTCTGGAAGAATCTTTAAAACTGCGTGGTGTTTGTGTTGTTCCCATCACTGGAATGCCATCCTTGAGATATTTGTTGTGGGACTAAACCGTGCAGCGTGACCTGAGCAAGTTCGAACTCTTTCAACCCTAGATAGCCGAATTTTCCATTTCATTTTTCATTGTCTTTTCTGTGTGATTCTCCATTACTGGGACAATGCCCCCACATAACCCTCACATAACCCGCTGACTTTCAGGTCGTTTCGCGGCTGGACTGATGAACCAGGGGGTTACGGGACGCTTTGGATTTGTGATCATGTGGGAGGTTCTCAAAAATCCCTATTTATGATCCCTTAGTACGGACCGAGATGGTCCCCGCGTAATCCCAGTATATCCACAGGATCCCTAACGCCACCCCCCTCCTTTTTTCTGACAAATCCCCATATCACCCAAGACCCCAAACTCTTGATAGCAGTTTCAACTTGATTTTCTATTGTCTCTTCCATTGGGTTCTCAAATGATTCGGGTTGTATAAGCGCTGTGTAACCCTTATGTAAACCTATATCACCTAATATCACACCTATGTAGCTCTATGTAAGCCCCTATGTAAACCTCTATACCCTCTATGTAACCCTATATCCCCCGGTGTACCTGTATACATGTAACCCCCCAAACTCTAAAACCTAACCCTATATGGGTGGTTGTCAAAATTATAATCCCTGTTTGGGTACACTAATTTTAGGTGCCGTATTATAATAGGGGTCCAAAAAGGGATCAAAATTTGGACGACAACCCAATATTACCCCATTATAGTAGCTTCCATTTTATTTTCCATTATACCAATATTATCCCAATATACTACAGTAGTTTCCATTTGATTTTCCATTATCCCAATATCAGCCCCTATGTCTTTTGATCCAAGCCGCAGCCCAAGCGCTGTTTCGGCGCAAGCCTTGCTATGTCAGATTCCACCAGCAATGCGCTTTGAGCCTCTTGGTCAGCAGGGTTTGGGGTTTGGGGTTTAGGGTTTAGGATTTAGGTTTTAGGGTGTTTTGCAATGATTGCTGGTGTCCCGGAATGTTGTTCCCACCCCCCCACCCCCAGCAATAAACTTACCCAACATGGTACCATTACATACCACGGCGAATATCTATCATGAGGGGGAGGGGATGGTTCAACCAATATAGTAGCTTCCATTTTCTGTTCCATTATGCCTATATAACCCCTATCGTAGTCCTTATATAACCCCGTCATAGTAGCTTCTGTTTTCTTTTCCACTATCTCTAACAAAGTCGGCATTAGTCTTCATGCGATGTGAGCAGTATCCTGCAGAGTGGCTTAGTCGCAGACAGATGCACACACATCCAGTTCACAGCATCATCAGTTCATACTCCATATACCCGTATAACCCCATATATAACTCCATCTATAACTAGCCCATATATAACCCACCTATATAACCTCCATGCCCCGACCATCAGGCAGCAGGCTGTTTGCTGTCTTGTTTTCGTCGATCGCATCTTGGCTATCATCAGCTGGAACGGATTAAAACCCTAAACCCTAAACCCTAAACCCTGAGTTGCGTGTCAGGAAGCCTTCCCCATTATCAGCTGCAATAGGTGCTATCACAGACTCTCCACCATAAGAGGAGAACACTGGATTTAAGTAAATGCCTGGCCGGCCCCAATCTTGTGGACTGGAAGACTCCGAGAGCTTGTCACAGACTGCCCTGGGACATTTGGTATTTTCCTTAATGCCCTAAATAGGGGACCATATATACTAACATTTTTCAAGTGGTTGTAGGGGCCAACCTAGCAGCTGAGGAAGATTCCAATGACCTTGCTCGTGGTGCAGAGGCAGGCAGCGGAGGAAAGCCACACTTCAACACATTCAATCCAATCGACTTCAATATCATTACCCATCACCAATATCATGCTTCAAGTATACTAAGGGTATACGGTACCTCAAATAGACATCATAATGATAGTACCATTTTATTTAGGCCCTGATTCATCTAGCTCAGCAAGTTTTGATTCATGGATGCTTACTAGCTTTAGAACTGAACCTTGAACCCCAACCCCCCAAACCCGAAACCCCAACCCCTCAAACCCCTAAATCCCTAAGCCACAAGCCATAAACCCTAAACCAGGCCTTTGCCTGCTGCTGCCTGGTGCCTACTGTCAGCCACATGACTCGTATTGCCTCCCAAAATGGGGCTGTTGTTGCATTAGGGACGGTTCAGGGATTAGGGGTTAGGGTTTAGGGATTGGGGTTTAGGGTTTAGGGATTAGGGTTTAGATTAGGGTTTAATGCTTAAGGTTTAGGGTTTAAGGATTCGGGTATATGGACTAGGGATATTACCACCCAGTGTAGTTTCTGCGAATGGGGGAACCCAAATATAGACCCCTGTGTATTATAGTCCTTACTATTTGGACCCTCAAAAAACTAGCACCAATTCTAGGAGCCCCCCATAGTATCATGTGCAATTAATTGCTGTTACCACTTCCATTTTAGAGCCAAGCTATTTATAAGTTTCACAAAGTCCTAAACCCTAAATCGCATTTGTAGCTTGCTCGAGGACAACTTCTTGCTGCCTTTTGGGGGAGCAAGGTATGGTTCATAGTCCCCCTTAAGTAGATAGAAGATGGCTTTGGGTATATTATAATAAGCTCCCCATATACACCATCTTCTGTCTACGTAAGGGGGGACTATAGGTGGACCCCCATACTCAGCCATAGTGACCATAAGTTGGGCCAATCCCCCACCCAGTAATGGATACCACGAAAGAATTTTGTGGGTATATTAAGGCCCTATTAACTACGACACATTAAGGAACTATTAGTGAAGGGGGGATTGACCTAAACTATAAAGGATAATGGTAATTGGATTGGGCCCTCTTATGTTCCTACTCTACCACTATTACAGGGTGGGGAATCCTCCTAAGGTATGGTGCTGGCTGACGCGGCCCTCTCTTGCAGCTGGCGGTAGCAACTTGACCGCATGCTTGACGTTGGGGCCTGGTCTCCCTGCTCTGAATAGTATAGTTGATATGCTTCACTGATGACAGCATCTTCAAAGAAATTCAATTTAAGATTGTTGTTTTAGGGTTTAGGTACGGATCCCCTGAGTACAGAATGATGTTTGCAGAGCTCAAGCCCTTGCAGCATTGCCACAGCAGAAAGCAGGTGTCCTGTGGTCGGCCGGTGGCGATGCGCTCTTGATGTCAGACTTTGATGCCCCAAGCGTGAGACTTTGGCCTGTTGGGAGTAATAACAGTAAAAACAGTAACAAGAATACTACTGGTAATAGCAACATTACTAGCAACTATAATAACAACAATTGTAACAATAATGGTAATCATAATAACAAGAATAGTAGGGGTGTTGTTACAAGTGACCGTGAGCCTGTAAATCATAGTTTTTGGAGTTGTCTCTGCGCTGTGCTGGAATTTTCCTTTAAGCTGTGTCGAGTCATGCTTAAAGACAGATTGCGGAAATGATAGTTTCCCTAAATAGGGGGACCCCAATATAGACCCCAAAATATTATAGTCCTTATTATGGGGACTCCCAAGAGGGTACCCCTTATTTTGGGAAACCACGAAATGCATCATGGAGCTTCAGAGCCTTCAGGAGACAGCCAGCAGCTGTTCATGGCCTGGGAACCGTGGCGCCCGGGACTATTTCAGGGAGATATGCAAGGAAGCGAGGTTCCATTCACCATCACCCCACAATCAGGACCTGAAGCTGTAAACACTCTCAAAACACCGAACCTTGCGATCAAAGTGATGACGACTTCATCGTGAAATGAATGGGGATTTCCCGACATTGATTGGGGTCTCCCTGTTTATGGAGACTACCAAGGCGACACGTCAGCCCAGCACCGCTAGTTCCCAAGTGTAGACACCAGCTGTATTTGCCACGGCAAGTATGCCCTGGCCGACTCGCGATTGGCGGGACGATACCGTACCTGAGGAGTTCGTGAAAAGGGGTTTGGACCAAAGCTTCGGCCTACGTACTACGTGCTGGTTTGTAGTAGGGAATAAGAGAACATAATCTCTATATAATCCCTACATATATATATATATACATATTCCCTTATTCCTTACGAAGAACCAGTAAGCCTGGAGGACACAGGTTATTTTGGGCGCAGAGGTTGCTGGCTAAAGTCCGCTTCGGTGCCATTATGGGGGCGGGTGGGGGGGTTCGTAAACGGATGGGTACCGTATATAATAGGGTGTCCCTGTAAAAAGGGCTGTAATATTGTAGGGTCTATATTGGGGTCCCTTACTGTAGGAAATTACTATACCATGAGTCTGACTTGGCAACAGCGTTGTGGGCTGGGAAGACTTCTGAGGCCTCAACCCATGCCCACGCTGTAAACCCCAAGGGATATACAAGGACTACAAAAGGGGATTATAGGGGTCCCCAT